AGAGAGAGAGAGAGGTTTAATGAATTTGTTGGTTGTAGAAAAAGACGAAGGAGAAGGATAACAAAGACGAAGGCAAAGAAGTGGATCTAGGGTGAGAGAGAAAGAGAGTAGCAGAAGAAGAGGTAGAAGAGGGACAAATGAGGTCTGATGGCTTCAGAGAATTCCGAAGAATGGAAGACGAATTGTAGGTGGTTTAAAGGACTGTGGAAGGCAGAGAAAAGCAGGCCGAATGGATTGCACAGAGAGAGAGAGAAGGGAAGAGAGAGAGAGTAAAGCAGTACCGAGGTGAGGGACTAGCATTTGTTGATTGGTGGAGATCAAAAGCACCTTCTTAGGAATCAATGGTGCCTGTTACGAGAAATCAAGAAAACTAGAGGCTGAAAATGTATCTGACACAGAAAATGTAACTGTTCTTTGGTTGGGCAGTTGCAGCTCTAGCTTCTATTTTTTCTTTCCTCTCGTAGTTATAACCATTGTAACCAAATAAGCTGAGATGGAAATTATTTTGCATAATTTGCTTAAATTGAAGTATTAAATTTGGGTAACTTAAATTGAAGTATTAGTCAATTTTTTAAATAAAGCGGTATAGAAAAGAAGCACACACTTTTATGTTATCTTCATTTCATGAAAAATTATAGAAATCTTTCATCCTCTCTAATATGGAAAAGCAGAGCATCCGAAGCAACTATACAAGAAACTCTTGTGTATGTAATGCATTTGGGATGAACTCTTCCATGAACAACAGGGGACAAATGTTATGTGTATTCTATAGATCGAACCACACAAATTGAAACATACACTTTATTCAAAGCAACAAAACATAGAGAGAGAGAGAGTGAGGAAGAACACTCATAAGGGAAACTTATGAACTCATGCCGGAAAGAGATGCATGTGGGAGTGAGTAGCATCCAGAAAATATCCTTACCAAACTTATAAACTTCATAGAATTGAGAGAGAAAGGCTGTTAACACGGTATACAGTTAGCCGTGTAGAGTTGACATAACGTGTGAAAACCGTGTGCTTCGGTGTTTCCTTTATTTTTGGGATCTTCATATCATCTTTTAAATTGTAAGGAGGGTATAAAAAAAAAGGTGAAAAATAAAACTGTATTTTTTCTTTCTCGTGGATGTAGGCTGTGTATAGCCGAACTACGTATATGCTATGAGTTTCTGAGTTCCTTTCTTCTTCTTTTCTGTGAATTAATTATTTAATATTATAATGCATGTTTCTTAGATATAGTCCCCCTCAAAAGGCATATAAATGCTATGATAATTTTTCAAAAACTGTAATTATCTCTCATGATGTTATTTTTCAAGAAAATAAACCTTACTTTCCTCAAATTCCCATGCATGAGGAAATTAAGGTTCAAGGGTAGAATCATGTGATGCCTTTGATTTCAAGTGAAGGCTATGTGGAGAACAAACACAATCATAACATTCAAAATGAGGTGGAAGCTAGAAATGATGAAGAACCTCAAGAAACCAATCCCTCACCATTTGATCCCCAAGTTGAACCTAGTCGTCCTTGAAGAAACGTTCAACTCCCAAATAAGTATTGTAATTTTCACATTTTTAATGCTTCCACCAATTACGCAATTCAAAAGGTTGTTAACTAGTCCAAAGTCTCTTAAGAATATAGTTCATATCCTTGTTGTATATCTGCCATTTAAAAACCTGCTAGCTTCCAAGAGGCTTCTTCCTATCCTGTCTAGAAAAAAGTTATGGAAGAAGAGCTTTGGGCTCTTGACAAAAATAAAACTTGGGAACTAGTCGAATTACCCAAAGGGAAAGAGGTGATTGGGGATAAATGGATTTATAAAATAAAATACAACAACAATGGAACTATAGAGAGATACAAGGCACGACTTGTTGCTAAAAGGTTCACCCAAATCTACGGCGAAGATTATAAGGAGACATTTTCTCATGTTGCTAAAATGAATACCGTCAAGGTTTTATTATTAATTGCCGCTAATTATGATTGGCCTCTCTATCAACTTGATGTTAAAAATGCATTCCTACAAGGTGACCTTGAGGATGAAGTTTATATGAAAATTCCTCAAGGACATCCTCATGAAAATTCCAATCTTATGTGCAAATTAAAAAAGACTATTTATGGCCTAAAGCAATCCCCTAGGGCCCGGTAGGCAAAGTTAAGCTCTTCCTTAGAAAAATATAATTTAATAGATGTAATGCAGATTCATCTATATTTGTAAAAAAAAGGAAAAATGGAAGTGTTGTGGTTCTTGTTTATGTCGATGATATCATTGTCACTGGGGATGATACCCAAGGTATTATTCATCTTAAAAATTACCTCCACCATGTATTCGCCCCAATGGATTTAGGCAAATTAAGATATTTTTTGGGAGTTGAAGTGACTTATTAAAAAAAAAGGTAATTTTCTCTCCCAAAGGCAATATATTCTTGATCTTTTGAAAAAAATTGGCAAATTAGGAGTTAAACTCAATGAGACTTCTATTGAAATGAATTCTAAGTTAACTATTGAAGATGGTCAACCTCTTAAAGATATTGGAAGGTATCAACGTTTGGAAGGAAAATTAATATATTTAACCATCACGAGATCAGATAGAACTTATGTTGTAAGTATGGCAAGCCAATTTATGCATGCTCCTCGTACTTCTCATATGGAAGCTATCGAGCAGATCATAAGATACCTCAAGGGTTCTCCTGGTAATAGATTTTGGATGCATAAAAATCGTCAAGTTGATATTCTTGGGTATTGTGATGCTGATTGGGTTGGGAATTCGTCATATAGGAAATCGACTACTGGTTTCGGCACATTTGTTGGTGGAAATATTATTACTTAGAGAAGCAAGAAACAAAATGTTATGGCTCGTTCTAGAGCTGAAGCAGAATATCGAGCTATGACATCCACTGTATGTGAACTTGTATGGCTTAAAGCTCTTCTCCAAGAACTTAGTTTTATACATGGTTATCCAGTCAAAATGTATGGTAACAATCAAGCTGCAATCCACATCACTTCGAATCCAGTTTTTCATGAAAGAGCCAAACATATCGAAGTTGACTGTCATTTCTTCAGGGAAAAAGTTCAAGCCAAATTAATTCAAACTCCATATATCAACAGTGAAAATCAACTGGTCGATATCTTTAGCAAAGTTGTTGGAAAATGGAGGCTTAAACAAGCAAGTTGGCTGCTTTAAATCTATTTACACCAACTTGAGGGGGAGTGTTAACACGGTATATAGTTGGCATACAATGTAAAGTTGACATACCGTGTGAAAACTGTGTACCTGGGTGTTTCTTTTATTTTTGAGATTTTCTCAACTTATAAATCGTGAGGAGGCTATCAGAAAAAGGGTGAAAACAAAATAAAATCGTATTTTTTTTACTCATGGATGCAGGCTGTGTATAGCCAAACCGCGTATATGCTATGAGTTTCTGAGTTATTTTATTCTTCTTTTATGTGAATGAATTATTTAACAAAGGCGTTCCATAAATATCTGTTGCTTACAAGAGAGAGAGAGTGAACGCTTAAAGAAGAGAGAGTGTAACGATGAGAGAGAGTCTCATTGTGCTACCCCACGAATGTTATTATTTATGGCTGTCATAAGATTGAGGCCATTGCCCTCGGAACCCATTTTCTTGAAGGAAGAAATGTGTAAGAAGAACCTTGTTGAGAGAGGAGGAGAGGCACAAGAATCTGCTGAGTTGGAAAGAACAGAGCACCCCCAAACAACCATACTCTGGCTGAACTCATCCATGAACAACAGGGGACAAATGTTATATGTATTCCATAGATCGAACCTTACAAATTACAGCATACACTTGATTCAAAACAACAATCACACACAACAAAACAGAGAGAGAGAGAGGAAGAACATTCATAAGGGAAACTTATGAACTCATGCCGAAAAGCGGTACATGTGGGAGCGAGCATCCAGAAAATATCCACTACAGACCTATAACTTCATAGAATAGAGAGAGAAAGGCAATATCCGCTGCTTACAAGAGAGAGAGAGGGGGAGATGAACGCTTAAAGCAGAGAGAGAATAACAATCAAACAGAAAGAGAGACTTTAACGCTTAAGGCAGCTACAGATGACGTTTAAGCAGAGAGTGATACGATCAAAGAGAGAGAGACCGGAAGAATGTTACTGGCATTGATTATGGCTGGGGAGCTGACCTTTCACAAACCTCAAGTACTCAACTCCTCCCTCTCTTTCTCTCTCAACTGTTGCTGCTGAAGGTCCACCATCTGCAAGCCACGGTTCACAATCGGAAGCTGAACAACCAGTGGTGGGTTCAATTTCACGTAAACATACCATGCGCAGAAGCCAAAAGGGATCAGACAAAGCACACCCACGAGGCTGAACCCTACCAACCTCGAGTAATCTGGGAATATCAGCATCAACACTCCAATGAACAGCACTGCCGCCATGGACACAACAGGCGCCCCAATCATCATACCCTCTGCTCTAATCTCTCGTGAAGCCTGCATCCTGTATTCTTTAGAGAGAGAGAGAGTCTCTTAGGTAAGAAAGATATTGGAGAGAGGGAGAGTAGGCGTTCTTGATTTTCTTGGAGGAGGAAGAAGAAGACGAAGGAGGAGAAGAAGAGTATGTTGGGTAATGCAAGAGAAAGAGAAGGGGGGGGGTGTTTGTTGATCGGAGGAAGGACAACAAGCATTTAGAGAGAGAGAGAGAGAGAGGAGGCAAGAAAGAAAAAGACGAAGGAGTAGAGAGAAGAAGAGAGAGAGAGGAAG